ACAGAGGAAACACTTTCCTCAGAGACAACTGCCCCAAAACTAGAAGACTTTTTTGTAATGGTGCAAATAAGTTTAACAGGCTAAAAATTATCTTTAAAGAAAAATAGTTGCAGCCCTCATTTAAAGGCTGCACGACCTATCAAATCTAGTAAGTACTGAGTACCCTATTCCATGGTCATCATTGTACTTACTATAGAATTAGCATACTCAGGGGAGATTACAATATTATAATTCCTGAAAAGGAACATATTTTCAGACTGCAGAAGTGATGAATACATTGAAGTAAGACACAGAATAAGTGCTTATAAAAAACAAACCTGTTTTTGCAATGTGAATTTCTATTTTCTATGCCCGTTTTTTTTTTTGCCCAGACACAAGACACATCCTCACAAGAAATTTAACAAACTGTCTGTGAATCTTATGCCAAATAAATGGCAAACATTATAAAGAATAGCATCCTATGAGGATATAATGTAATAGTATATTTATCAAAAGACAGTTTTATTTTCAATAGTAAGCATATTCAGCCAGTAATATGCAGATATTTAAATGTGAATAATCATTGTATAATATAGGGTTTAAGTGAATTAGATGATTCCAATTCTCTTCAGGCAATTTAATTTTTTGCCATATCACCACCAGCAAAATCCTAAAGAACAAAGCATTATTCTCATTTTGTACAATAATATTTTCTCAAGATCTGCTACGGGGAACTATTAAGAAACGGAAATCTAGATAGCACAATAGACCATTCAATAAGTGACAAAACTAAGTGATAATATTTAATTCCTTTTACCACACAAGAGTAATAGCTATTAAAATTCCTCGAAGATCTTTGAAAAGGGTATATTAATATTTGAAAAATAATCAAACTCTCTCTCTGAAACACCCTTGAAAACGTAGCTAAAATGATAAGCTTCACAAACATCATCCTAATAATAGAATCACCATGTACTGAATACTTATTTGCTAAACATTTTACCTACATTATCTCATTTCATATTATGAAATAGGCATCATCATCCCCTCTTCATATATGTGAAAATTAAGATTCATATGGTTAAAGTGCATGCTCTGGGTCTCAGCTAGTAAACGGAGTTGGGAACTGAATTCAGTTTTACGTGACTCCAAAAGCAGTGCTCTTGCGACTGTATCAGTGCTTCCTAACTTTTGTCACATCATGGCACAGACTGAAAAACATAGTATTCGTAAGGGTTACTGAGGTAAGCTGCAGGGCTTGATGAAAATAACATATATTTTCTTTATATTATAAAATTATGACATGAAAAATAAAAAGTATTACAAATGATATTAAATACTAATTGGCATAAATCTTCCAGATGAAATATTTTCAACTGCCAGATTCAGAAAGTTTACAAGGGATTCACACCAAAAATGTTCATATATCATTTCAACTACTGTAAAATTTTCAAGTTAGAAAAGCAATTTAAAATTTCAAAACTACAGAGCCAGCCTTGATGGCCTAGCAGTTAAAAGTTTAGTGAGCCTGCTTTGGTGGCCCAGGTTCGGTTGTCAGGTGCAGAACCACACCACTCATCTGTCAATAGCCATGCTGTAGCAGGAGCTCACATAGAAGAACCAGAAGAACTTACAACTATATACTGGGGAGGGGGTGAGGGGAGAAAAAAAGAGGAAGATTGGCAACAGATGTTAGCTTAGGGCAAATCTTCCCCTGCAAAAAAAAAAAAAATCAAAACTATAAAAAGTGTACAAACAGCACACTTGCCATCCTATGCACTGCAGTCTGGCTGGGAAGCTTTGCATAATATAATTTTGTCTTTCTATAGCATATTATGATTAAACACTAATTTGTATCTCAAGATCTTCCCAATAACACAATTAAAGGAAATTCAAACCAAAGGTAATCAAAGAATTACAACACTGAAGTCTCCCTTAACTAATTAAGCCCACACTAGGTTCTTAATTTGAATTTCTATAGTACCCAGAATCTGTAACATTCATTTTAATTTAATAATAACAACAGCTAATATTCATTGAGCTAATACTATTTGCTAGACTGTGTTCTACTTTACATTATTATCATATGTAATCCTCACAGCAATCCTATGAAGTACCTCTATTTTCTCCATTTTAAAGATGAGGAAACCGAGGCAGAGAGAAATTGAGTAAATTACTTTCCTAAGGCTACAGCTGATAAATGGGAATTAGAATTTGAAACAGTCTGACTTCAGAGCCCATGTTGTTAATCACTATGCTAAACTACATCCCTGCAAGGAAGAAAACACAGTGAGACTTAAGGAATACCTAGTACATGCCAGGAGAGACAAAGGTAAGTAAATAGATCCCAACTTGGACTAAGCTCAATAGTTTCACATTAGTAAAAATGACTTGCATGTACGTCAAAGGAGATATTCTACAGCAAAAAGAAAATTATCTGCATAGTGTGATGGGTGTATTTTGCTTATAGAAATAGTAAGGAAGATAACTATAAGTTCATATATGCATTATGATATAGTTCAAGCAAGAGCTTCTGTCTCCACAACCTATTTGAAGCTGATTTAACTTGCTCAAGAATATTAAAAAATCTTACTTAAAACAATGAAATTGATAAAAATTAAAAACAAAGTCTTTAGTACTTTGATTTTTACTTATTGCTTTTGAAGTTGCCCAAGTCATCATGTGTTTAATTTTGTTTTTAACTAAATGCACTACTCAAAAAGTCCTCGACACAGATTTTTCTAGACATCTGGACAAGCTCTGCTTGCCTAAATTCTGCCTGCCAAATCCCGCCGTTTGGAAGAAAGCCTCAGAGTTTACAACTGTATTACAAGAGGCTAACGTGCTGAGGGGATCTCTGACGGTAACGTAAACCAAAACACCCAGAAAGGATGAAAATACACCTTTAATTTCATAACCAATCTCAATACAGACAATGCTAACACCTTGAGTACCTATTATGGTTTACATCAAACATCTGAAAGGCCCCAAAGAGCAATGTCCAACATTACGTGGCTCACGCTGATTGACAGTAAATATTTAAGGGGCATCTACTGTGTGCCAGGGAGCATCCTCATCCACAAATGATACCTGTTACATAGAGAGTGGCAGTCTAGAACTACAATTTAAATTCATGCATTCTGAAAGATCGAGTATTCAAACTGGAGCTCAAGCTCCAATACATAACCTTCCCCCTAATCCAAAAAGCTATTATTACCAGGGCTTCTGCATTCTACAAACCACCAAACATGTTATCATGAAGAAACTAGCATGGGCACCCAGCACATCCTGGAGTACAAAACAAGCCTTGGGTTATGCTGGTGCATTCTGTCCTCTGGAACTTTACAACATGAAAATTGGGCAATTCTCCTAAAGCGATTTCTTTTTCTCAAAAATCGATTGTTTTAAAAAGTAAAGTTCTACTGCTTGCAGAAACCATTACTCCTACTTATTCTTCTCAAACAGATCCCCAGAAAATACTAATAGTGAAGAAATGTAGCTTGACTTATTGGTAAGCTGATGCCTGGGTACTAGAAAGCCTCTCGAAGCCAGTCTGGCAAAAATTTTAAAACTAATCATGCTGAGTAAAATGCAACTGACTGTACATAAAAGTTACTTAAAACAAAGGTCAGGCTAAAAAAAAAAAAGGTCAGTTAATTCCTGAAACCAATATTTTTAGTTTGAAGAGACCAAAAAAGATAAAACAGCTCACCAAAAGTCTGTCACAGCTTTTACAGTAAATATGTCCAATTTCATAATTTAACCTAAGATAACTCCATTTCCACTGCACATCATCCCTAGCAACTATTCAGCAATTCCCAATGTGTAATCTATTGTCCACTACGCCTTTTGCCACAAACCTCAAACAAGCCAGTTCTTAAATTTCCTCAACTCATACCATGTCCTCTTTTATAAAAACAAAGGGAGGAATTACAAAACTTTAAGAGAACAAAAATTACAGAAAAAGCTGGAAAGGTATAGACAGCCTCTGCACCCAAGCTCTTTGCCTTTATACCTAAGAACTTGTCATTTATCTCAATCACACACCTTCGTGTTCCTGGATAACCAAGGGTTCCTCCATCTTACCAGCAGTTCAAAATTCCCACTCTCTAATAAATGACAGGGTCCTTATGTGACCACTCTGTCTCAGCCCCTCTCTCTATTTATATTAATCATTCAAGGCTCCCTGTCATAAAGTATCACCACGCTCCAAACTCACAAGCCACTATACGAGCCCAACACAAGCCTATCCCGTCCTCCTTGCTACCAACGCACTCTAACCCCTTGCAAAACCTTCCCTAATATCGGGTCTTCCTTGATGAGCTTTTACCAAATTCCTAACACAGTCTCGATATCCTATTGCCCCACACTTCCAAACTCTCTTCGGTAAATACAATTCCAACGCACAGTCACCCCCTCTCTCCAGCCTAATTCCCACAACCCCAAAACCCCACCTCCTCATCACGCCCTCCCGGGCCTCAGCCACCTACTCAACACCCCGCCCCATGCCCGTCACGCCCTCCAGATCCCTTCGGGGTCCTTTCCGCCGGCCCGGCCGGACCCCTCTCAAGGCTCCCAATCGCCCAGGCCCTCGCGATCACCCCGCCAGCCCCGCCCCCAGCCCCTCACCGAGGAGCAGCAGCTTCACTTCTTTGGCCGCTTTCTCTCCGTCCTCCCGCAAGTTGCGGTCGATCATCTTGCTCCGCTCCACCGCCGCCTTGTCTTCGGCGCTCAGTGTGCAGCCCATGGCGGCGGCGGGAGAGGGGACCGGGCCCGGACTCACTCACAGACCACTGAGACTGCGGCTCGCCTGGCTGAGACAGACCCTGCTGCTGGGCGGCGGCCCTCTCCGTCAGCTTTCGGAGCGCCCGATGGAACCGGATATCCGGTGTTTACGACACTTCCGGCAACGCCCCTCGGCCGTTACTGCTAGAACATCTCTAGGTGGGGTGGAGGAGGCGCGACCGAAAGCGGAAGTACCGAGAGAGGCACGGTGAGGCGGCGCGGTGGTTCCGTGCGTAGCGAGGGGCTGTCGAGCTCGCTGAGCGACGCTCGACCTTAGTTCTCTTTCACCTTTTCGGCTGCCTTATTCGGATAAATGTAGAAAAACGGGGGACTGTTCTCTCCAGTTCATGGCGCCCTCCCGAGGTCACACAGCCTAGTTTGGCTGGGGCGTGAGTGGGGGGAATTCCCAAATAAGAGCCCACAGCCCGCATGGGAATTTCTGCTGGGAATTTCTCACTGACGAGAAAGCCCCTTTGATCTCTGACCTTGGAGACCCGGGGCCCCTGCCCAAGTGTAAGACACTTCCGCTGCCAGGATCATTTCAGCTAGATCTATGGGATGGGAACGAACTCCCAAGCCTGGGCCCCAGCCACGCTTCACATCTGAGATCTGTAAGACCGACCATGCCAAGGACTTCAGCGATCCTTTTCTGCCCACTCTGGCCCAGCGCTTCCTCCTCTCGAAGTGGACCCTGGTCCTCGGTCCGTTGCGTACGAATTTCTCTGGGCTTGAGAGTTGCCCAGCTACTATGTTGGCAAAGGGCCACTTGAAGTCGCTAACAAATACCCTGTTAACTTGAAAGGGAAGCGTGTAGTCCTCCATAAAGTTTCCATGCTGCCTTTCTCCCAAATAAGTCGTTTTTGGTGCTTACAGATTGTCCTGCGTTGGGGGTTTAGGATTCTACCAAGATTAGTCAACCCCAGTCCCACACCCCGAAACAAACCAGTGCATCCTGTGAATCTCCTGCTAAAATTTACTGTTGTGGTACCCCAAAAGGGAAGTTCTAGTAAAATTTGCCTCTCGGGTCTAGCATCACCTGAAAATTAAATCTCCTATGAAAGCCCCAGACTGATAACCTTTTTCGCTTATAATCCTGGGTACTACCGTGAAGGTGGCCCTAAATTACCTTTACTGCCAAATAGCCCCACAAATAACTCTCAGCATACATTCTAGGGAGGGGAACTCTTGTAGCCTCCAAAACCTTTCCCTGATTAAAAATTATTTCCCTAATAGAATGTAAACCTTAGAATGTCAGGTCCCAACAGAAAGGTCTATATGGTGATGATTCGTTAATTAGATTTCTTGAGGGGCACCTTGAATAACCTCATCCACCATCAATTATCAATGCCAGTTCTTCAAAGTTTGAAAAGTCTACTCATTCCCAAACCTGTTAGAATAAAAGGGACTGCTTTCCCACAATCAATACTTATGGGGAAAAAGGGCAAGAGGAGAGGGAAGAAAAACCAATATTTATTGAGTACCTATTTGCCAGGTATGGCTAGGTGCTTCCACGTGTCATCTCTTTTAATCCTCACAACAACCCTGTGAGGTAGGTAGTGTTATCCCCATTTTTACAGATGAGGAAATAGGCTCAGAGAAATTAAGCATCTTTCCCAAGTTCACACAGTGAGTAAGTAGACCTGACTCCAAATTCACCTCTTTGTCTGCCATACCACTCTAAGATGTTACCTGGGGAGACCTGACAACAGAAGGTTTCCATCCAGGATTGAGAGTTACCCCACCATCACTAGGGTGCGGAAAAAGTGACAGGCCGGTTGTCTCAACCTGTTGATTCTTCAGTGGATTAGAGAGGTCAAAATTTGTCCAGGAACAGCTTTCACAGCTAAGGATTACGTATTGAACCTTACCAAGCAATCCTGGTAACTAGAAAATTCCTGAAAGGTGTTAATGACAGAAATTGTTGGGAAAGTTCTCAGCATAACAGAAATTTTTATTTCCTTCATGATCCACTCAGGGAAAAATAAATGACAAATGAACTAGCGCAGGTCAAATTCCGTAATAAACGCCAGTGAGATCACAGTGTCAGGAAATGTCAGCCTGAATTAGAGATATCCTTGCTACTTAAAATTTTCTTTGATGTATGTAAAGAAAGGGTTGAAGGGCAAAGTCAAAGGAAAAGGCAAAATAAATTGACAAAATGGCTGCCAGGCAATGTTTAGAGCCTTCCCTTCTCCCCTCCTGCCCACGCCGGACCACACCTTTCCTACTTCCACTGGACTCACACCGCCACCTGCTGGTAATGCCTAGGGCCTACTAGCTGATCAGTGCTGTTTGGAAGAAGAGTTCTCCCCCCATCCAGGAGTTTATCTTAAAAGGGAGGAGAGAGAGGCAAGCATGTTTTTTGATCACGAAAGACTCTCTTCCGTGTATGTATTATCTAAGGGATTTCCTCAATGTAATAGGCGCTAGACTAGAGGCAGTCTAGTGGTAGGAAGACAGAAACCTGGAAATTTTCCTAGAGGGGAAAAGCTGTTTGCCCAAGTTTCATTTAATAAATTATTTTCTTCAACTAGAGTTTCAGTGACAACCCCTGTACTTCCCACAATCTGCAGGAAGCCTCCATGTAGGTATCTTGCTGCAATGGACTGAACTCTCAGAACCATGAACATATTCTCCAATATATTTCTCAAACACATTCTATAGTGCTTTACCAGATGTAAAAATACAAGGTACCTGATCGAATTGGACTATGAACTCCTTGAAGGCAGTGACGCCACATGCTCTGTGTGAGTCCCAGAGAATATTGGGTATTCAACTATTATGCACTGAATTGAACTGAAGGAGTCATGTTGATATCAGTATAACTTTTTATAATAAAAATTATTTATTGGCTGTTCAAAGGGAATCTGTCCCACTCCCACCAGCCCATCTTCCCCTTTGATGCTCACTGAGCCAGGAATTTGTTCAAATACAGACCACACCACCCTCTGGTCCAGCCTCAACACTTTTATGTTACCTGATTCAATTGAGGGGAGTGGGATGGACAGGTAGTCCCAGATGGGTGTCCTGTCCAGTTTGCAATTATTCCGCTTCCCTTGAAAATACCATCACCAATACAAACCAACACATTTCCTACAGTCTCAGTTGTGAACGGCTGAGCCCAACTCTTTTGCTCTCTCTCCAACCTAGGGCTGCAGATAGGAGAGAGATTTAAGTCTTTGTCACTGAAGCTAATGTTAAGAGCAATGAATGGGAGTAGGGAGGCATTTAATGGACCAGGGAAACCCCATCCATCCCATTCCCAACCTTAGTCTCTTGTACCCGATTGTCCAGGGGGCTGGAGGTGGGTCACTGCCATGAGGAGAGAGACCAGGGAGGCCAGTCCTAGGAAAAAACAGATTTATAGTATTATTGGTCAGGGTGATTATCGGGTCTGTCTGTATCCAACCACCTTAGCAATTCAAATGCTAATCCCCATCTTCAGCCATCCAACCCCCAATCTTTCACTTATTCATCCTAACAGACAAGTAGAAAGGGCCATCCTGTCTTAGTCTTGCCTCTGCTGAGATCAAGCTTGCGGGTAGAAAAGAGAGCTGCAGTCAGCTTTCTTGTCTTCTACTCTATGTACCCTGATTGCTATTTCCTCTTCTGGCCAAACTCAGGAAAGGAATATACCCAGCTGATCCTCTCACTTTAAGGAAACCCCAGATCTAAAACTAGAACAAGATCTACTAACTCAAATGGAAACTCATGGATTTTATTTAGTTCTTTTTAAACCTAGCAAGGAGAGCCAGCCCTGATGACCTAGTGGTTAAAGTTTGGCATGCTCTGCTTTGGCAGCCCAGGTTTGGTTCCCAGGCATGGAACTACACCACTTGTTTGTCAGTAGCCATGCTGTGGTTGTGGCTCACATAGAAGAACCAGAAGGACTTACAATTATACACAACTGTGTACTGGGGCTTTGGGGAGGAAAAAGAAAGAAAAAAAAAGGAGGAAGATTGGCAACAGATATTAGCTTAGGGCGAATCTTCCCCAGCAAAAAAACAAAAACAAAAACAAAACCCAAGCAAGGAAATAAGAAGAGATGGGTCATTTTCTTACCTTGCTTGGGTGCAATTATTGCCCTGGACAATTATACTGAAAAATTAAATATCCTAAAGGATCCCCAGAATAACTCCAAACCTAGCCTGCTGCCTTATATCCTCCAACTCCTACCCTTAGAGAGTTTCCCTGCTTCCTGAGGCATGGAAAGTTCACTGGTTGAAAGGCATCATCTCACCTTCGTGACCCATTACTCTCGTCACCATCTCACCAGGTCCCCTCCCCCAGTAGTCAAGGATCATAGCCATGTCCAAGGCTTTCACCACATGTCCATCCTGTTGGCTCTGTTCCTGACCCAGAAAACACTAAGCGAAAGCTGTGTGCAGAGACCCCAGCCCTAGCCCCAGCTAGCTGGGAAAAGGTGGTCCCACAAGGTGTTCCTTGCAGCCATAACCGGCCCCCAGCCCCATCTCTCTCCAAGTGTCCAGCAGCCCATCATGATTCTGGTCGAGGTGAGGGGGCAGGACGGAGGTAGCTGTCCGACATGATGATGTCGCTGGTGAGTTGTTGCTCCAGGAACTCGGAGGTCTCCTCAGCTATCTGGCCTGGAATTCGAAAGTCAACAGCAGGTGGCTCCTGCTTAGGGCTGGGTGTAGGTCGAGAAACCCAGGACTCTGTGGGACAGGCAGTCCCCTGAAGGAACTGCAGGAAGTTCTCCTCAATGGAGCCCTCCCGGCTAGGCAGCCTCAGCTCCTCCTCTGGGGCCTGCTTGAAGAAGCAGACAAACTGCTTGCTGAGCTCCCCCCGGATCTGGCGATTGAGACATCCATAGAAGAAAGGGTTGGAAGTGAAGCAGAAGTAGCCGATCCAGGTCACCACATTCTCCACCTGCCCAGTCGAAATGGGCTGAGTGCTCAGGGCAACGTAGAGGTGGAAAGAAAAGTAGGGCAACCAACAGAGCAGGAACTGCCCCCCCACGGCCAGGAGCACCACTGCCGCCTTCCCGCCCCCAAACGTCCGGTGCGGTGTAGTCTGGGGGGCCCCTGAGCTGGTGACCATGGTGGAGCGGCTGCTGAGAGACTCCGAGCGTTGCCGGGGTGTCTCCATCCACGTGGGCAGTGGTCCATGCTGCATGGCAGCCACGCGGGCTACTCGGAACATGCTGCAGTAGACCACGAGGATAAGGACCAGGGGCAGCAAGAAGTAAAGGACAGCAAAGACTACCACAAAGAGCTGGCAGTAGGCACTGTGGCTCCACTGGAGTGAGCAGCCTGGGGGGATGCTGGGAGCTCCTTCCTCCCTGGAGACCCTTCCCAACACTGGCACAGAAGCCATCGCCAAGGCCTTTACCCACACACCCACCAGCACAGAGGCCACCAGCCCCAGCGTCATGCGCACCTCGTAGCGCATGGGGTGGACCACATAATAGTAGCGCTCCACATTGATGGCTGACACTGAGAGAATGGCCAGGCTGACAAAGCATACGCTCAGGAACAAGTAGAGGCGGCAGGCGACCTCCCCAAAGAGGTCATGGTCAAAGAGGGCGGAGCTGGAGAGCATGGCCAGGGGCATGAGGGTCAGTGCGGCCAGCAGATCCACCAAGCAGAGGTGGAAGACGAAGACAAATTTCCGGAGAGCAGGTGTCTTGGCGATAACAGCCATCACAGCAGCATTGCCAGCCACAGCGGTCAAGTCCAGAAGGAGCATGAAGAAGAGGGCCACAGATTCTGAAGCCACGTCCCGCAGCCCCACTTCCGGCACCCCACTGGCAGTAGAGGGACCTGGGGTTTGAAGGACCTTCCCCAGAGTGGAAGAGTTCCCTGATGACTCTGGGATGGGTGAGGACTCCATGGGGCCGAAAAAGGACACCCAGGGTACCTCCTGTCACAGGCCCATCCCCCATCCTAGTCCAGTGACCCTGGGATGGCAAGCCCAGGCCCAGGCTTCCCAATTTTGTCAGCGAGTGGGAGTCGGGGGAGAGGGCGCCTCCTGCTGGAGCCTCTCAGGCAGGCTCTTAGTGGCAGCCTTCGAGGCTGGGCTGCACATACAGAGCGCCAGGCCACTAACTGAGGGCTCAGGAGCTCCTCTCTCCTTTCTGGCAGGAGGTAGCTCTGGGTCCACCTTGGTGACTGCGAAGCAGCAGCAGAGCAGACGTGAAAAACGCAGGGGCCTTGTCCACTCAGCGTTCCACCTTCCGAGTGGTCTCCGGCTCCTTCTTTTCCACTTCCTTTCCTGTCTTCTCCAAACTCTTCTCGCCTTTCAAGGACTGTTATCCAGAGATTCTAAATCCTCTGTCTCCCTTGCCCAGGGTCCTGCTGAGCTCCGGGATAGTGCCCCAGTTTGGAGGTGGTTTATGTAAATTCCCTGATTTCCTGTCTCCTCAGACTGGCAGGAGCTGTTGAGGAGTAGAGGGAGCACGAGGCTTGGTTTCCAGTCCCAGGTCTGGGAGTTAAGTAACTCTATGACTCTTCTGAACTTCTGTTTCCTCACAAAGGCATCTGTAAAATGAAGGGAATAATCCTGACTTCACAACTGTGTTTGAAGGATTGTGTGAGATTTAGTCATAATAATATTAATAATAAGCAGTAACATTTATATGGTGCTTTCCACATGCCAGATACTGTTCTAAGTACTCCATATATATTCACTCATTTTAATCCTCACAAAACTCTACGAGGTAGATATTATTTTTATCCCCATTTTGCAGTTGATAAAACTGAGGCCTAGAGAGTTTGCATAACTTACCAAAGGTCACACAGCTAGTAAGTGGTAAGGTCCAGGGACACTCCCAGGCAGTCTGGCTCCAGGGCCAGTACTCTAGCCCACCATGCCATGCTGCACTTGACGGCGCCCTCCACAGTGGCTGAAACGTAAGAGGCATTCAGGAAATAGTTGCTGAGTTTGAACCATCTCTCAACATGTCTCTCATTGCTCTGGGGTTACTGCTGGCAAGAGATCACCTGAAAAGGGGAAGGGCTGTGCTTTCGTCTCCTCTGACATCCCCACCCCAAGACAAAGAGCTGTTACTTTGGGAGTGTTGAGAAGGAGCAAGGAAAACGAAGCATCCCAGCTGGAAGGAAACTGGGAGGTCAGCTCATCCAGCCTCCACTGCTCCCAAAGCCAGAAGGGCATAAGTCCCATCTCCACCCACTCCTTAGCTTCTCATGGCCACTGTGCCCCTGCAGGTGGGAGAGTAGCTTCTCCTAACCTCCCCCTCCCCAGGTCCCCAGATTTCTGCTCATTGGAGCTGACCATCAGAGGATCCCAGGCCTAGAGCCCTCTTGGTCCCAGACTGTTCCCACAGTCACAGAACAAGGAGAGAGGAGGAGGCATCTGGGTAGGGGCGGGGTGGGTATGCGTGTGGGTAGATGACTGCGATCGTGGAAGTGGGTGAGCATAAAGCAGAGAAGAAAACTAGAAGAAATTGGAGAGGAAAATGTCTGGGGTTTCAGTATCTCTCATTTCTCCTGATCAAATGGCAGATCAGACCTGTTTTATGTGTCTCATTATCCATGCTGAGTTTGCACATAATCAAAATAAGTTGCCCAAGGTAATTTTAAATTTTTTCGTTTCCATATACTCTTCTTGCAGTCCAGATTCCCTCAGTTTAGTGTGCTAAGTTCTGCAAATTAGAGGCAAACTGTGGACCTGCCAAGTCTGGTGGGCTTTCTGTAGACAAGACACAAGTTGCCCGGGTCACAGTTTCCTCATCTGTAAAATGGGTTGGACTGGACGACCTCCAAGGTTCCCATAGATGATAACATTTGATGACTCTGTGAGTTCCTGGACTACGAAGGGCCTGGTGGTTTCTCAATTTAAAAACCCATCATTTCTCTAACTGCAATAAAGAGGACCACGTGGGGCAGTCAGGCCCCATTCCCTCTCCACAGTCACAACCTTACAGTCACCTCTGGTTTTTGTCATGACCACCAACTTTGCACTAATTTAACTTCTAGCATGCCATGCATGCCATGGGTGCTCAATACAATTTTGTGAATTGAATCAAACTCAGATTGATGAGTTGAATCCCTGCCTCTAGTACATACTCCAAGAAAACTCAGTCAGTCAGCTGTGTGCCAGCCAGGGCCCTCTCTTCTGGAAAGGGTATCCTGGGCTCTTGGACTTGAGGCAGCCCTAACTTTGGAAAACTGCCTAGAGACGCGCCTCTCCCCAGGCATAACAGAAAGCTCATTTCACAGTTAAAATGGCCACATAGACTCAGGGTCTGCAGAGAAAGTGAAGAGAGGGCCTGAAAGTGGAGACGTCAGCTTCTCATAAGACAATCTACCAGAAAAAAATGTGGAAAAAGATACTAGGAGAGGCATCCTTGCCCCTTACAATACATGCCATGACTTCCCCATCCCTTCTACCTGGGAGTGTGGTCCGGGAGACGTGGCTCTGAGGCCCTGGAAGCTAAAAGAGCAAAGGCCTACCGTCTCTGCCTGGACATCAAGGGTCTGCCAGCAGGGCCCACCCAGGGTCTCAGACTGAGGGAAGCAGACATGGTTTCCACGTGGAGATGGAGGGGGTGCTGTGAAGCCAAGATGGAGCCCTAGGCAAGAAGGCATTGGACATTTCTCTTTTCCACAACCCCCCTAGCCTTGCCAGCATCTCCACACGGACTCCTAAATTGCAGGATTCCAATTTACCTCCTAACCGACAGCCCAGCATACCTGGGCCCTGGCACTCCCTCACTGATGGACTGGGGTAAAGGAAGGGAGGGCGGTGGTGTAACAGTTTCACAGGGGAAGCCCACGGAGCCTCACTCCCCTCCTAGCTCAAGTCATCATGCCTTCTCGGATGCTCTCGTCCTCGCGCTGCTTCCTTCCAAGACCCCCTCCCTCACCTCCAGGACCTCTCAGTACCTGAAGGCTTTGCCACCATATGAGCTGAGGTCTGGGCCTCTAGAGGGGCATGGAAAAGTTAGGGATATCCTTGTTTCAGGATGCAAGATGTACCTAAGTGCCCAGCCCAAGGCCACAGAGGTGTCGTTGTGATTCAGATGCACCTGTTTCCCAGATACAGAGCTTCCCTCCCAAGGACCGCAGCCTGGCCTTCCCTCAGACAAGAGCATGCCCCTCCTAAGCCAGGAGACATTTCCAGGGGGCTACAACACCTCCCCCCAGCAGAGTTGCCCACACCCAGGACACAGAGTTGCCCATAAGCCTGGATGCCAAAGGACTCATTCCTAGGATGTGAGGGACCCATCTCTATGACATGAAGCAAGATATGTAGGGAACCCTGTCTGCCTGCGGGATGTAGGTACTCCTGCTGGCAGGAGATCAACCCCTCATCACTAGACTTCAGAGATGCCCACACCCCAGTACTGCCTTCGGGATACCTGGGATCCCATTCTCTGACAAACTGCCTACCATAAGGTAGGGTGGGCTGGTCCTTGGGATGCAGGGCTGCCCTTCTGTAGGGTACCTCAGCGCTCACCACCAGGCCCTGACTCTGGCCCCCGTTCCTGGCCTAGTCGGCAACTCCTACCTTTGCTGAGCAGCTCCCGGCTCCCATGTGATAGCTCTTCTCAGCTGATGCTCCTCCAAGGCTGCTGAAGCCTGAACCACTGCAGTGATGGTGAGAGGCAGCCGGCAGAGCAAGATGCTCTGAGAGCTTCTGGGTCCTAATGGCCTCCTGCTTCCCACCTAGCCCCCTGGAGCCACTTCTGAAGCCAGTGGCCGGGCACCAGTGCCCCCAGGCAAGGCGTCCAGGAGTGGGCCCAATGCCTCCCACTTCTCTCAGGTTGCTAGAGTGGCCTCAAAACCTCGTGGCCCGGGTGGTGGTAGGCAGTGGAGACCCTCCTGGCCAGGCTGATGAAGTAAAAAGAGCATTCAGAGTCAGAAAATCCAGATTTAAGGCCTGGCTCTGGCTCTCACTAGCTGTGTGGCCTTGGGCAAGTCTCTTCCCACTTCTGGCCTTGGTTTCTTATCTGCTCAAAGAGAATAGAGGAGAGATGATCCCTGAAGCTCCTGACAGCCCTGCCACCACATGGTTCTGAGGGACTTCAGAACCAAGGTGCTTTTGCAGCACGCCAGTCAGTACAGACCCAGGGCCCCAGGGTTAGGCCTGGTAGGGGCCGAGGCTGCGGAGCATGGTCCAAGGTTTGGCTCCTTTGGAAGCTGCCAAATGTGTATAAAGGACAAGTTTAGGAGTGGCAGTCAGGTTTGAAGGGGATTCAGGTTTAAAGGCCTTGTCTTAACCCTGCACCTGCCCCTCAAAATTGCATTATTGTTTTCTTAGATCTTATGTTTAATTGGCGTGGGGCTCTGAGAACTGATGGAGATGGGAGAATGGAACATCCTCATGAGCCACCCTGTGGTACCACCACAACACTGCGCCCCGAAGCAGAGCTGGAGCCAGGTACTCGGGAAGGCTCCGATTGGTCTGGATCTGTGGGACCAATTGCAGCTGGGGAACGTCACCCACTGCGGGTCCAAGGCCATGTGATGAGCCTTGGAGGTGACATGAGGGGCATGGCTTCCCACTAGCTATCAAGAGAATAGTTCCCCCAGGTACATGCCTGACACCCAAGGATAGGATTCTAACATCGTAGAGCTGTAAGACATCCTACAGGCCAAGGCATCCATGTTTCTGAGGCCCAGAGAGGTGAAGAGATGCCCAAAACCACACCTGGCAGAGCCATGGGCCTAGACAAGGAACTCAAGCATGAGACCCACTGCCCTTAGACCTGCCTGGCCAGAAACTCCTTCTGTCTCTAAAAGGGAAGAAAAGGAATTCTGGAATTGTTTACCAGACCCAACCCAGAAAGCCATAGAACAATGAAGTACCCAGGGAACTCAGAGCGGGCAAGGTGGCTGCCCCAGGCTTCAGGTCAACAAAAAAGAGGCCGCTGACCAGCCCAGACCCAATGGGGTAATCTCCACTCCCCCTGACCACCCTTCCTTGAGCTCTTAGGAGGGTCCGGCCCTTTACATACAGTACCCTCAATCCTCACGCCAGTTCTAGGAGGTAGCCGTTACTCGCCTTATTTTATAGATGAGGAAATGGGTGTCAGAGGTTAAGTGACTTTCCCCAGGTCACATAGCTAGTAAGTGCCAGAGCCAATATTTGAACCCAGGTGTGTTTGAAGCTAAGCATTTATTCCCTCCCCCATGCCCCCATGACCTCTCTGGAGGCCTGACGTGAGACTTAGGGCTGAAGCCCTAAAGCTGATTCCACACAAGTGGCCACTGCCTTCCAGGAAACAGCCTAAAACAAAACTAGATATACCTGAGTACAGGGAAATCAATTAAAATATCAAATAAAAACCTGCGGACAGCAAAGAGATTTTTATCAAACCTTGTGTTGCATGGTGTTGGCAAGATCTTGGCATCAATCAAACCCTCTGGGATCAGGGAAGACATACCCCTGGTCAGCACCCACATCCTTCCTGCAGGGGTCCAGCCCAGACTGACATGGCCCCCTTCCAAGGGTTCAGAAAGAACCAGAGCTGATCCAGGCCCATCAGAACAGGACCAAAGAAAGAGCACTGGATTGGTCAGAAAACCTTGGTTCTAGTTGGGCTCTGTTCTACTGGTTGGTGGTAAGACCTTTGCCTGAGAATCAGCCGTCTGTGCCTTAGTTTTTCTAGCTATAAAATGGGCACAATTCTTCACTCCCCAGATTATCTAATAGGGATAGGGAGCCCGCAATACAAACACAGCCTGTTTCTCAGGCTTGAGGGAGCTAGTAGTTACCCTGGCTGGCCAAACAACTGGTGTGGTGGACAGCAGACAAAGTCTCCAGGTCCTGAGGCCATTCTCAGAGAGCCCTTGGGGAAGGCAGTTCCAAGGAGGCATGGACCCTAGAGCATCCTCTCAGATGCTAGAAGCCATCCTGGCTCAGGAGAGGAGGAGGGGAGATGAAAAACTGCTTATCCTGGCCTGGAGGCCGCTGCTGCTGCTGCTGCTGCTGCTGCTGCTGATGATGATGATACTAGTCCTTGAGGGCCCAATCTGGGAGGTACTTCTTATGTTGTATCTCATTAAATGATCTCCACCAGGATTTGGAGTAGCTATCGATATTACATCCCCCCACCCAACCGTGCCAATCCCTCCTTTTAGAGCTTAGCACATGGAGGAGGTGGGAAGATCAAGGTGGAGAACCTGGGGGTTCCAACAAACCACCTCAGAGGTCCATGGCCCACCACGCTGCCTGCATACCCAGGAGGTGGCTCCTGTGACAGGTCAGCAGTGGCACCCCTCTCCTCAGTATCATGGTGGCCCCTTGGTGCTGAGATCTGATTTCGCCATCCCAGACTTGCTTCTTGGTGCAGCCGTGCCCCGCCCTTGCCCACCAGCACCTTGTGACAGGGTTATGTCCACCCCCACCCACCCTTTCCTGCCCCCTCAACTGTGACCTTGAAGCAGACCAAGTTTACCTTTCATTCATCCATCCATTTATTCAATATGAATCTATCAAATGCTTTTTATGTGCCCACAGCCCCCTCCCTGTCACCCCTCACCTGCTTAGTAGCACCCACTGCCCCTCCTTCTCTGCCCTCTCTGCCTCTGTCAAAACCTGCTCTCAGGAAAGAGGCTGATAAATCCATTCACGCTGATAGTAGCTTAATGCGTTCTCTCCCAGGAATATTAACAATTTAACAGGGAACAAAGAGAAGAAGCTGAATGTTGGGATTCCAGCATCGACCAGGGGTGTCCCCAAGATGCCACAACATAGACTGTCTGTTCGACCGCCTACTCCCCAGCCTGGCTTTGTCCCTCAGGATGCCAATGTTGTGTCCTCTCTGCACCCGCCTCCATCCACACAGACACCCAACCCCCGCCCCCAGGCACAGAGCAGGCTCACAGCTGGGACCTCCCCACCTTAGCTCAGCCCCAGCTATCCAGAGCCCCCTGTGCCAGCACCAGCCATGCCTGCTCTCCAGGCACCCACCCGCCCTGCCCACCATCTGGGGGCCAGGCCCAGGGACTGAGGAAGGAGAAGGAGGAAAGAAGAGGTGAGAACCTTCCCATTCCCTTTATTCCCCCACAGTCTGGCCTACACCCCCTGCCAGGAGCCAAGATCCAACAGTATATTCAGCCTGCAGCTGCCACTGGTCATGTGAGCCCATTGCTAGGTTACAGGGACCCAAAAATAAATCCTTCCCAACCAGATTAGAAACTGGGGGCCTCGGATGAACCAGGCTCAAAAGAGTGGCAGGAACACCCACAGTGCATGTGCAGGCCAGGCCTGCTAGGAGGCCGGGGAGCCTTCCCCTGCTGCCACCCCCATCCCTCAGCTGGGGCTCAATGCTGGACCCCAAAGAAAAACTCCCAGAGAGCTCCTGGGTCCTTGGTAACGACATGATAAACAAGTCTGCAGGTGGAGTGGCCCTTCCTCACTAGCGGTCAGGGGCTGCCTGTTCTTCCCATCCAACCTCCCCACCAGTGCCCTGCCCCACCACCGTGCACCTGCAAAGCACCATTAACCATTTGCCCTGTGGCCTGAGGGGCAGTCTGTACCAACTGTCCTTTTCCAGACTCAGGAGGGGAGATCGAGCAGTGGGCACAGCACTGAGCACTTTCACATGAGTAGTTTCACAACCATCTTCTGAGTTAGTTTCAATAACTCCACTTACAGATGCAGAAACTGAGGCCCAGAGAGGTTAAATGACCTTCTCAGAGCCACACAGTTGAGCAGCTGGGATTCAAATTCCAGATCTTTATTTACTAAGTCAGGGGATGGGGCAAGGAAGAGGACAGAGAAGCACGGCAAAAGAAAGGGGGTCCCAAAAACCCTTCCCTGGGGCCTGCTAACTGGGCACTTTACTTGCTCTGAATTGGGGGTGTTGTCTCCCCCTGCCACCCACCTCCACATCCTCCAAGCCAGGCCACAGCCTACCCAAGTCACACGCCTCCTTCTTCATGGCTTTGGACTCTGTCACCTGCTCTGGTCCAGCACCTGGGTGGGCTTATTCCTGGTGCTCAGGCCTGAGGGGGCTCATGTACCAGTCCCCATTGACCATCACCCCTCTGCTTCAGAACCTCGACGTGGAGTCAGAATAGCACAGCTGAACAGGTCATGGGAAGTCAGGTACTATTTTACAGATGAATAAGTTCAGAGAGGGGAAGTAACTTGCCCAAGACTACACAGCTAGAGGGAGAAGGAGACGTGACCAGAATCCATGCCTCCAGATTCCTACCCCTTTTTTTGCCTGCCACTAAGGATGCAGATAGTTGGGGTCCATCACGTCTGGCACTGGGGCCAACCTGTAATTTTCCCCGCACCTGGTGCCGTTCCTCAACCCACAGCATCTCCAAGGCTCTCCCGCTGACTGTTCTCTTCCGCAAAGTGCTCCTCCCCCCAGGAGAGGTCCTGAGGAGGCCCAGATTCCTCACTCCCCTCCCTGTAGAGGTCCTTGCCTCCCACTTCTGAAAACACTCCTTTAGTGTCCTGAAGCCTCGGAGCACCCCATTCCCACCTCCTTTGGCTCCCAGCAGCCCAAACTGCAGGCTCCACTTCACTCAATTCAAGACATGTTTACTGAGCACCCACTATATAGGCAAAGCTCTGTCTAGGGGGTGAGAGAGAGGGACACAAAGATGAAACAAATACAAAGCTTGCACTCTCGGTGCTTACAATCTAGGATAGAGATGAAGCAGGTTGTAAGCTTCAAAGGAGAGTCAAAGTTCTATGGAGATTCAAAGAAAAAGTAGAACCCGCTCCCTTAGGAAATCTTGGAAGGCTTCATGAAGGAAGTGTCATGGGTCTTAAAGGAGGGGTAGGATTTTAACTGGGAGTAATTGAAGGAGGAGAGTATTCCAGGCAGAAGGAGCAGGCCTGGCAAAAACATGGAGACAGGCAAGCTCACGGAATATCAGGGCACTGCAAGGAGAGAGGTACGTTGGCTGGACGGTGGAAGGGCTGGTAAGCCAGACTGAAAAGGCAGCACAGTAAAATGTTTGAGCAGGGAAAGGTAGGGCCACAGACGTGTCCATTTCCTGTCTTTTCGTGAGTCAGTCGATAAGTATTTACTGAACCCACAGGTGCCAGAGAGAGGGGTTGAACTCAAGGCTGGGAATGTCCCTTGTCGTTCAGGTCTAGAGGGAGGAGAAAAAACACATAGGTCTTCCAGGAGATAGTACCTGTGAACATACGACAGAGTGAGCTCAGGAAAGGGGAGGTCAGAGATGAAGTGAGGAGAGATCACATGACACTCATGCTTCCCAGGTGGGCTCTCAGAGCATCGGCCCAGGTCCCCGTGAGTGACCTGCATGTCCATTCTGTGGGGAGGAGGCAAAGGATGGAGTGGTAATTTGAGTGCCTGGAAATTCTCCCCTATAGATCCACGGTGTCCTAAGAAGCCGCCCAGCCTGATCTGCAGGGACACAGCACCTGGACCTCATAGCTGCTCACTCCAGCACGGGCCGCCCAGCTCGCTGCCGGGTTCCGGGGTCCTGGGCTCTGGCCTAAGCGCAAAGAGCTGGGCTGGATTTCCCAGCTGAGGGTCCACAGAGCTCTCCCAGCAGTGCCTGGTCTCTGACTCTTGGGGGCGCCCCTGCTCTACATCCTTGGGCAATCCTCCCTAAGCAACCAGTCCTCAGCCCCGCCAGCCCCACTGAGCACTGGGGCAGCCTGACACTTCCTTCTCCAGGCTGGGCACCACTGGACACCGCTGGGCACAGGGATACAGGCCCTGTGGCCTCTTTCCCAGACATTCTCCTTTCCTCCAAAGTCCTCTCCCTGCATTCCTGACCCATCTAAAAACAAGAGCTTCCCCCTCATTCAACTCTCACGCCCCTATGTCCAAGGAAGGGCCAGACTCCCACCCGCCCCCCCCCCACCGGCTCCTTAGGGATGGAGAGAGGGCTTGTGAGAGTCCCCTCAGAGCCCTCAGAGGGCGCGATGGTCAGCCCTCGCCCACATACCTGAGGAGCCTACTGGAGAATGCTGTGTGAAAACTCTGTCTCTCGGATGGGCTAGCTTGGAAGGGTAGCCACGGATGGTCTAAATCAGCCCTGCCCTGGGTCAGGGGTCCCTGGATGATGAGGAACCCCCTGGGTGGGAAAGAGGAAGACTGCTTCATTTCAGGGCCCCTAGGCGGCCCTGACAGCCAGCAGCCACAAGGGGACAGTGTGGGCCACAGAGCTGAGAAGAGTCTCCTGCAGTCTCCGGACAGTTCTTCCTTCCAAACCCCAGGGGCTTTGTCCCACTCCCTCCTCCCCCCTCCCCCACCCCCCCCCCCCCGGGGGGGACTTGCTGTCCTTGGGCTACGACTTTTCCATCCTTTTGACCTCCTACAATCTTGGCTGGGAGGGCCAGGCAAGAGGGCCAAGGCTCCCAAGAGAAAATCCCTCCCACTCCTAGGAGGTGATTAGGAAGAGATGGGCCAGCTGGCATCCTGGAAACACAAAACGCGGAGTCCGGAGCTGCATCCGCATGACAGAGCAGTGCACTTGGTGCTCCTCTCTCAGCTTCTCCAAGCCCCAGCTTCAAATGAGGGGTTGGGCTAGGCTTGTAGACGCTCTCGAAGGTCCTCTACAGCTCTCGATTTTGAGTCTGAGTCAGCAGCTGCTGTCCTTGAGTGGCTTCTCCTGCAGGCCCTGACAGCTTGAGAGATTCAGGGTGGTAGGCAGGGGGTGGGTGCAGGAAATAGCAGTGGGCTCTCTGCTGTCCACAAACCAGGTCATTCCTCTGGGAATCACAGTCAGGAAGAAATTCAGTCCTAGGATTGGGAAGGGGCCCAGGAAGTGATGACCAGGGTCAGCTGGGCCCCAGAAAGGCTCCTCTAAGGGGCTCCATCTGATTGGTTTGTGTGCGACTGCGTGAATGGTAGCAGG